ATATATATATATATATATATATATATATATATATATATATATATATATATATACTGTATATATATATATACACACACACACATTTTAAAATTTAAATATTTCAAATATATATATATAGTATAATAATAAATATATTAAAATATATTTTTTACAAATTATCGCAAAAGGGGAATGTGAAGGCCTGTTTGCTATGTGATTTTCTAAATCTATGCAAAAACAACAAAAGATGTTTTGATGAATATCTGAGCTGCTCTCTTCCATACAATGAAAGTGACTGGTCACCAGAGGCTGTCAATCTCCAAAAATGACAAAAAGCACCGTATAAATATCATAAAAATAGTCCAAATGCTATATTTCAGTCCTTGTGACGAGGTGCAGACTGAAATGTAACATTATTCACTCTAAATTCACAAAAAATAAAAAAAATTTTGCTCGACAAAAGACTTTTTCATCAGTTATTGTCGTGTTATGATAAAGAATCATTTAGATAATATAAACGTCTCCCTTTGTTTTCCTTGGAGGAAATAAGGTTTGGGTCAGCACGAGTAAATGATGACTGAATGTGTGGATGTCTTTAAATGTATAGCACGTACTGTATATGACCTTGATTCTGTGAACGGACTTTTTCTGCCTGCTGCGTCTTCGATTCTCTCTCTCTGTCTGTATATATATATATATATATATATATATATATTGTAAGGTGATATTGTCACAGCGCAGGTCAGCGGTGAAACTCATTCAGCGCTGTATTAGAATGAGCCCTTCTCTGAAACTCATTGCTGGAAACCTATTACAAGCCTCAATGCTCACACACACACACACACAGAGCTGAGGTGTGTGTGTGAGGCGTAATGAAGAGAGACTCTAGAGAAAACATAGTGTTGTGTGTTCAGACTGAATGTCATCAGAATGTCTGCTTCACTCTGCAGCTTATTCTGTTCAAGATCCACCCACTTAAATTGACTGACATGGTAACTAACCAATCACAGCTCATCTTTCATGTGACATTTAGGAGTGAATCTAAAACTAATAGACCAGCATGCAACACATCTGAAATAAAGTAAAACATTCCTCAATTCTTGGAAAATGCAAATAGACCTATGTTTGCTGTCGCTCTATAAATGATAAATACTGATAGTTTCACTTTATTGGAATATATTCTTTACATGCAGATGTGACTTTTGAAAGATACTGAAGATCTTTGAAAGAACTCTTTTCAGATCCAGTGATTACACTGCAAAAGTGTTTTTGTCTGAAAGCATGTAAACATTCTTAAAATAAGATACAGTTACTTGGCTAGAATGAAATGTTTGGAGCGGGAGAGTGAGGTGCAACGCACAGGTCTTGAACCTGGTGAGACGCAGGTTGAGATGCAATATGATATAAGCTATTAAGCTATTATTATTGTTTATGCTTAAAACAAGAACAAATATTTTTTCTCTTTGAATTAAGTCAAATTTTCTGACCCCATTGGCGGATATTTGCTCTTGTTTTAAGCATAATTTTGATAATTTGTTCAGAAAACGAAGACTTAATATCTTATGTCATTAAATTAAATAAAATTTTGATTCTCAAGTAAATTGTTTTATGGATGTTTAGATATTTGCACTGGAAAACAAAAAATACTGAAGAAGAAAATAATTTTTTGCAGTACAGTTCTTCCTTAAAAGCATAATTGTAGCTGCCTGGAAACTTTTTAATATTTTTTATATTTGTATAATTTTATGTTTGATGTTTTTTATAATAATTATATTTTAATATAAATATATTTGCATAATATTAATAATTATTATTGTTATTACTAAATAAAGTATATTACTATTGTAATATTTGAAAAAAATAATGTATTTATTAAAAAAAAGAATATACTAATAATAATGATCTTAATTGTGTTAATGTCATCATTTTCAAACATTACACCATTGAGATCTTAAAGCTTCTCTTTTTTGTTCATGTAGTGCATATATTTATTTGATAATCGCACTTAGCCATATTGCAATTTCGGTTTTATTTCGATACATTGATTAATATCTCACACCTAAACAATAATTGCATTTAAATGTCTAAGTGAAGCATCACTGTTATTACTGCTGATATTAGTGTTTATGGCAGCGTGTTTTGCACCAGGTAAACGTTCAGATCTCGTTTCTGTCAGTAACTTGCCAGTGCTTTAATGTAAGACAGATGATGTTTGGAAAACTGGACTCATTTAGCAGGTTTTTATCTCTGAACCTCGCTGATGTGTGTCTAAACTCTCATTAGGGCATTCAGGACTCGCTGTGGATGTCTTTCAGAGGGTCGCGTGGGTCACGTATGTCTGCGAGTGTGTGCCAGCTTTATAATCACAGACAGATTGTGATGGATCACCTCCAGAGCGTCACTGACACCAGACTGTGTGTGTGTGTGTTTTCTGTTGTGCAGCGGACGACAGATGCAGCTGTCTGCACGGAGGGACGTGTCTTCCTCACGGAGAGGGTTTCCGCTGCTTCTGTCCGCAGGGTTACGCAGGAGAAAGCTGTGAAATCGGTGAGCAAATCCAGAGTTTAAAGGAACAGTTCACCCAAAAAATGAAAATTTGCTGAACATTTACTCACACTCAAGATGTAGATGAGTTTGTTTCTTCATCAGGTTTGGAGAAATGCAGCAGTGCATCAGTGTCTCAGCAATGGATGCTCTGCAGTGAATGGGTGCCGTCAGAATGAGAGTCCAAACAGCTGATAAATACATCACAATAATCCTCAAGTAATCCACAGCACTCCAGTCCATCAGTTGATGTCTTGAGAAGACAAAAGCTGAAACAAATCCAACATTAAGACATTTTTGACTTTAAATCGTCGCTTCTGGCTAAAATATGAGTCCATAATCCATAATAACGCTTCCTCCAGTGAAAAAGTGCATCTCCTGTTGTCTCTCACATCAAAATCCAGCCACATATTTGTTTAGAGCTGTTTCGGCTTCTAAACAGTGCTTGATCTGTGCAGATTTCTCTCCTGATTCAGACCACTTTTTTTCAGGAGGAAGCATTAATTATGGATTATGGACTATTTTGGCCATCCGTCTTTTGTCTTCTCCAGATGTTAACTGATGGACTGGACTGCTGTGGATTATTGTGATGTTTTTATCAGCTGTTTGGACTCTCATTCTGACGGCACCCATTCACTGCTGAGCAAGTGATGCAATGCTACATTTCTCCAAATCTGATGAAGAAGAGCGTGAGGACATTTTCAGCTAATTTTGGTTTTTGGGTGAACTATTCCTTCAAAACCCTTGACAGAAATGTGTTCCTGCACACACTAGCACAAGTGGATGTGTAATTTATTTTTACACATGATAGTTTGTAGCAGGTTAAAGTGTCAGTGGGGAATTTGTGTTTAATCTTGTCCATTTGCACTTTACTTGTTATAAAGACGTGTAAAAAGAGAAGACTGTTCTTCTTTCTATCAAGAATTTAAAAAAAAAGCAAGCATGCAGTTCATCTTAACATCCCAAAACACACAAAAACAAGCATGAGTGCACAAGGATCCCATGTTTCCCAGGTCTTGGAAAACTTTAAAATTGTGATTGATTTTTTTTAGAACTGAAATAGTTTTTTTGTATCTCTATAAAATGATTTAAAAGTCTTTCAGTAATCACTAATATCTGGAAGCATTCTGAAATTACATTAATCAAAATGTGTGGGAATATTGAATCTATTAAATCACCCCGAAAATGATTTTTTAAAGTCCTTATCCAGTCTGTTTGAAGAACTGAAAAGGCCATAAAAAATCATAAATGTTGAAGCTTTATATTTTAAATTCACACTCGTGTCATAAAATCTGCATGTATAACTAGAAGAAAATGTTCAGCTTTGTCTCCGATGTTCCTCCAAAAATTCCTTGATCATCCAGTACAGTCTTATTTTATTATTAATAGTATTTATTCATGTTTCGAATGAGCTTTTATTTTTATATTTTCAGTTTTAGTAATCACATTTTATTTTATTTACATTTTAGTTTTAGAAATGTTAATACTTATTATAATACTAATTTTTATTTGTTTGTTTTTTTATTTAAGTTATCATATTTTATGTATTCATTTCATTTTTAGCTTTATTACAATTACTGAAAAGTATTTTTATGGTTTTAGTTTTAGTTAACAATAACCAGCAAGAGTTTAGATCTATAAAACGATAAAAATCCAGTTATTGAGAAGGATTCTGTCCCAGCTGCCTTATAGGCAGAGGTCAATACTGAGGTCAGAGGTCAAGCAGGTCATCATGTGAGACACAAGGGTGGGCGTTTGGGGGTCAAAGGTCAGGGGAAGGTTGACAGGTTTATGTTGACCTCTTCACATTTACTGCAGTGTGTTCTGAGACAGACACGACAACGATGAGATGAAGGTCAATGCTAATTCAGTTTGTGCTTTTATTATGATTAAATGATACATCTAATGGCCTTATAGACTAGCATGTTGGGTTGGTGACAAACGTTTCAGGTAGATATTTGAATATAATGGTTCATCCAGACCTTTACGACTGACTTTCGTTTTCAAGGAGATGACAGTCTCTCATTGATGTCTCCTTTCTGTTCAACAGAAGAAAGAAAGCAGAGAGTGAGGAGATGATGAGAGTGTTTTGTTAGTTTGTGTGTTTTCTTCTCTCTGAGGACGTATATGCTGTAGATATTCATGACTGAGATGTGAGCAGTGATAGGGAAACTCTTCAGAGGCTCATGGGCTCTTTCAGAGCGACTCGCGGCGAAACCATCTGCATAATCTATGAGCCGATTCAAATATTCATGAGGAGCAGAAGTACCTTGTGAGCAGGGCTGGATTGGTAATCGGGCATACCGGGCATTTTCCCGGTGGGCCGATGCACTTAAGGGGCCGACGGAAGTTTTTTTTTTTTTTTTTGCCGATGACCATCACGCAGGGACAGCGAGCAGCCAGTGGCCCGTTGGTTTGTCTCCTGTATTGACAGCATAAACATCCAATCACAATGCGCTTTAGACGGAGCGATGAAGAATTTTTCTCCGCCGATGTAAAGATCGCTTCACCCAACTTCTTCCTCGTCGGCTTTTTTCCCACGTTTTCACAGCAGCTTTATCAAGAACAGGCTTGCTCTGCGGTGAGCGATGCGGGCCAAAGAGCAAGGCAGGAGGAGAAGAAGAGAGTAGTTGCTATTGCAGCTGCTATTCAAATCTGCGTTCGCACTTTAGCTGGCACGGAGCCAGAAGCGTTTGTAGAGCGCTGCATTATAACCAATCACAGTCTTTAAAAAAAGGATATGCTTTTCCTTTTTTACTGATTAATGTTCACTTATTTAATGTGATATTTAGAGGCGAATCTTTTCAAACATTATTTTATTATATAAAAAGTTACATACAAAAACCCCCCAAACATCTCTTTGCATAGAGTAAACCAATTTTATTTATGTTTGTGCTTTACTCTATGGTATAATACATACACACACATTGTTTATTTACTAGTATTTTATTTATTTTACTTAGTTTTAGTTATTTTTATTTGATGTTTATTATTTAATAATAATATGAATTTTAAACCGACAATTACATGAATATGCATTTTTTATATTATTAATTAATTAATTAATTAGTAATTTATTAATATGTATATAACTCTGTTATATGTATTTATTTATTATTATGTCTTATTTTCATTTTTTCTGTTTTCACTTGTTGTGTTTTTGACATTTTGATTAGTTTTTTAAAATATCTTTATATTATTAATTTATTTTGATTTATTTTACTTAGTTTTTCGTTATTGTTATTTTATGTATATTCATTTTTTATATTAGTTATTAATTAATTTGTAATTTATTAATGAATATGTATATAACTCTGTTATGATAAACAGAATTTATTTAATATTGTGCTTTATTTATTATTATGTATTTATTATTAGATCTTATTTTTATATTTTCTGTTTTCACTTTAATTGTAAAATTGTAGTTATTTTGTTGTGTTTTTGACATTTTGATTCATTTTTAATTTGTCTTTATAGTATTTATTAATTTTCATTTATTTTACTTAGTTTTGGTTATTGTTATTTTATGTATATAATTTTTTAATATTAGTTATTCATTCGTTTGAATAATTTTAGTAATTTATTAAGTAATTTATTAATTAATATGTATGCAATTCTGTTATAATAAACTGAATTTCTTTAATATTGTGCTTTATTTATTATTATTATTATTAAAAACCAATTTATTTTTATATTTTCTGTTTTCACTTTAATTGTATAATTAATTGACTTTCTTCAACAAGAAAAATATGCTTTGTGCCAGGTTTTTATAAAATAGTTTTCATAGACATAGAAAATATTATTTAGGGCAAGTTATTTATTTTTCATTGGCTCAAGTTAAAAAATATAGATGTGAATCATTACCTTACATTTTTTTAATTGGATGAATAAGAAAAATTTTTCAGTGTATCATTGATATACTTATTTATTTTTTTATATTTTGTTTTCACTTAAATTTTAGTTAAAGTTTTAGTAGTGTTTTTGACATTTTTATTAGTTTAAAAAAAATATGTCTATTGTATTAATTAATTTAGATTATTTATTATTATTATTATTAAAAACCAATTAAATAATTTCTTCACATATAAGTATATATTATTAATATATAATAATACATACATTACGTATATATTATTAGTAAAATTAGTTGAATCAATATTAAAGAATTTCTGTTGTAAAGAAAAGAGTGTTTTTACTATCACTATTATTTTGTATTGACAGTTTTTTATGACCTTATCCCTCTAAATGTAATTCTTGTCATTCTCATATGCTAATACAAATGACTGTATTACAATACAAATGTACTGCAATACAGTGGATTTTTGATTGAATGTGAATCAATATATTAGTCAAATATTTAAATCAATATTTTTTTTATTTAATAAAAATCAAAGGCAGTGCAACAAATACTCCCCTGAACATAAATAGTTTATAATTACAAATATAGATATGTATAATTATTTTTACACTTTATAGTAATGAGAATATGAAGAGGGATCCTTAATAACTTTAATTAGCTTTTATGGTGAAATGTGACCCAGATATGATCTTGAGAGGCTTCGTGAGATTCAGTTTTCATCAGGCTTCGTTTAATTCCAGTCACACGGCGATCAAATCAGCCTGAGCTCCGAATACAGCCTTCCCATGATCCTCTGCTCGTCTGATATCCACTTAAAGCCTAAAAACTTCAAGAAGTTCATGAGCAGCAGTTTGGGACTTTGTGACTGACGTGTTACGCAAACCTTTAAGTCTTTCAGCTTCATCTTTTCAAGCTCCTCTGATGACAACTTTTTTGCAAGCCTGACAAACGCCGAGCCTCAGAAGTGTTTGCTATATTGGGAAGCGTCTGCATTAATGTCTTATAAAGTGCTGCTGGTGGGTAATCCTGTACGACCGTGAGCTGTAAAGACAGACGCTAAATGACTCTTCAGCACTTCACGTCTCTGTCGGCTCACTTTAACCTCCTGATATTACCGCTCTATGATCTGCAGTCCTACGCCGTCTGTGAGGTTTGAAAGGGACGGTTTTTTACATTTACTCTCCCTCATGTTGCTTCAAACCTGCATGTCTTGATTTCTTCTTCAGAGCTGCTCTTTTCCGTGCAGTGACGGCGATTTATTCTCTACGCTCTAAAAACAACATCAAATAGTCTTGACGTGTGCACTTTATTCCAGTGCTGTTTTAGGACACTGAAAAAAATGTTTCATTCAACCAATTAAAAAAATTTAGGGTAATGATTCACATCTATATATTTTTTAAAATAAAAATAAATAAATAACTTGCCCTAAACAATATTTGCTATGTCTATGAAAACTATACAAATACATTTCTTAAATGAGAATTTTTGTTTTGATTAAATCTATATTTTTTTGTTTGGATCAAAAATAGAATTTTAATTAATTGACTTTCTTCAACAAGAAAAATATGCTTTGTGCCAGGTTTTTATAAAATAGTTTTCATAGACATAGAAAATATTATTTGGGGCAAGTTATTTATTTTTCATTGGCTCAAGTTAAAAAATATAGATGTGAATCATTACCCTACATTTTTTTAATTGGATGAATAAGAAAAATTTTTCAGTGTATCATTGATATACTTATTTATTTTTTTATATTTTGTTTTCACTTAAATTTTAGTTAAAGTTTTAGTAGTGTTTTTGACATTTTTATTAGTTTAAAAAAAATATGTCTATTGTATTAATTAATTTAGATTATTTTAGTTATTTTACTTAAGCTAGAACTAAATGAAAATGAGAAATGTTGCCTTAGAAACTACAGTAGATGAAATAAAATGTTGAATGTTTTTCATATTTGATTATTTTTATTTCAAGTAACAAATGTTTTTATGGTTTTTGTTTAGTTATGCTCTTAAAAACAACATTTAATAGTCTATGTGTGCATTAAATTCCAGTGATGTTTTAGTATTATTGACATATTATTATAGTTTTTGTTTTGATTTTATTTTTATATTTTCTGTTTTTACTTTATACACTTTATTGTATTTTTTACTTAAAAGTTTTTGTAATTTTGCTGCATTTTTATTCATTTTTTAAGTGTCTTTATAGTATTGATTATTTTTATTTATTTTATTTAGTTGTAGTTATTTTAGTACTTAAACTAAACAAAAATGATAAATATTTTCCTTAGAAACTACAGTAGCTGAAATAAGTTATTTTATTTTCATTTATTTTCATTTATTTTATTTCAAATAAAGATTTTTTTTATGGTTTTAGTTTTAGTGAACAATAATAACCCTACTATATTCCTAGTCTTCTGAAATCATATTTTATATGCATTTGGCAGATGCTTTTATCCAAAGCAACTTACGTAGGTATATTGCATTCAGTGCAGTTTAATGATAAATATAATGGTTTTGTGTGAGAAACAAACTGAAATTGAAGCAATTTTTCTGTAAATCTTTCCCTCTGCTGCGGCTTTTTTAGAGAAATCTAATTCTCTTCAATCTAAATATGCAGAATTTCAAGATATAAACGCAGAATTGTGAGGAAAAAGTCACTTTTATAGCTTTTTTTTCATCATGTGGAAGAAAAAAAACTGAATTGCGAGATATAAACTCAGAATTGTAATTTCTGATTATTATCAGTGTTGAAAACAGTTGCGCTGCTGAATGTTTTTGTGGAAACTGTGATAAATTTTATATTTCAGGATTCACAGATGAATGCAGAGTTCAAAAGAACAGCGTTTATTTGAAATAGAAATGTTTTGTAACATTACAAATGTCTTTACTGTCACTTTTGAT